GTATAATCTCATCACTAAACATATTATTCTGTCTTGAGTACTATCCTAAATGGCATCGATTTTCCAATTTCTTGACAATGTAGACAATTTTTTTAGAAAGTTCATAATTTGTTTTGTCTCCTGGTTGGACTGGCCAGTAAACCAGAGCCTTCAACACCAGAGAGAATGTTGGTGGTCTTGTTGTAATCAATAATGTCTTCATGGTTCCTCTTCTGGCGTATCTCCGTGGACACGCAAAAGTTGGCAACTATAGCACGTGGCGCTCAGCCATCAACATCTTTAAGGTAGCTGCGCTATTCTTAAGACCATCACTCTATCAGTCATTAACTTTCCGCTGCCTCTTGTATGCAACATATCAACTAACCATGATAGGCTGCTGAATCAGAATGTTTTATTCTTCCTATACTGTTCTACCTGTTAATCGGCCTTTTTGTATTTTTTTTGAGTTGAATTCCCTGTCCATCTGCATACATGTAAGATAAATGTACGCTGCTATACGGTCTCCGTGTATGCAGCCATGATTGAAAAGTAAATTACCATAATAGAGGAGTGAAGTATGCATCTGTGTGCTCACCTCCTGATGAATTGATTGAAGTATAGTCTCTGTTAGGTGTAGTGAATATCGGCAAATGTTCTCCGGATTTAGGCAGTGTAGAGTGGGGCTCAATACGATCAGAAAATTGGTGTAACAACTGCGAACCAGAGAGCAGGACTTTTGCTGCAATTTCTAGGTAGAAAATGGCGAAACACTTTCATAAATATTGTGATTTCGGCTTTTGAAGAGATCGGAGACGTTGAATACAGGATTTATGTGGTTGAAAATTGGTTTTATATGAGGAAAATGGTTTCATGTGGTAGGAAAATGGTGTTAAGTGGTAGGAAAACGAATTTATGACGTAGGAACCTTTTTTTTGTCGTAAGAAAATTATATCTTTGCGGAATATTAATTATAATTTGATCTCTCGACAGCTAATCATGTGCATTGAAATGGTGTGATAACTACAAACACACATGCGTTTGATAAACATATCTTGAAACTAAACTTCACAAGTGAAAGAAAATGACAGAACATGTAGCTAAAATTATTATACTTGTACGAGAAGTGCCGCAGCCTATTCCCTGGTGCTGCCACAGTGTACACTAACCTGCACGCTGTGCAACAATCAGCAATATAGCACATGACAGTAAGGAAAGCAGTACAGCAACATACAATAATATTTGTCAGTTTTTGTTCTGCTTTTGATACAATTAATAAACCTGGAAAAATCAAATTGGCTTTTCTTAGTTAAGTATTTTTTAACGATGAAACAAGACAACAATAAATGCCTATGATATGGCATCATCAGAGGAATCATTGGCATATATACTCAATTGTATTTTTTTATACAATCAATTTTGTGTTGTATATATTGTATATTATTCAGATTCCTGCAGAACGATTAGCCGTTGTTATAATATACGCATATCAGGACTGTCGGTCGGTACTGTGTGATCGTACGATTGGCAGTAATGTTGAGTTATTGACATCACAAAACACATACGGCTGGCAGCATCGTAATTCGTCGCTATTCGTTCGTAAGGTTTATATTTAACAACCCGTCCACATCAACAAAGGCCAAATGCTCGTTAATCCAGTCGCCAAACCTGCCGTGTAAGAATGAAAAACGGTTTACCCACGACTCGCTACTGACAACGTTTGAACATTTTCCGAACAGTGCTTCGCTGACGACCTCTGTTCGAATCGTAACGCTGTATAAATGCTTCACCCGCGCACTTCAAATACAAATAGTCCAGCCCTTCCTCATAAACAAAGGTTAAAGTCCATTCCATGCACCCGCCAAACCCCCCCTGTTTATGAATGAAAAACGGTTTACATGCTTCTCACAGCTGATTTCGTTCGAACACTTCCGGAACAAGTGCTTCACTGACGAATTTTGTTCGAACCACAACGCTGTAAATGCTTCACCCACGTACTACAAATACAAATATTCGTCAACAGAACCTAAATACCTAACCTAACTAATCAATACCTAAATATGCACAACGCGCAAAATAATTAACAATACTAATCTATACGTAAGAAAATTCCTATTCTGAATGAACAGCATGTTAAAATTAATGAATGCGTCTTTAGAGTCGACCGCTGGATGGAATGGATTTGGTCTGAGAACGAGTTGAATAATCACCAACAATTACCTAATGACCTAACCTACGCCTAACTATTCATAGAACTTTAAAATATTATAATATCGATATATCAATGCGAACAAATCAATTTTTAATACACACTACCTTCAAATTAATGAATGTATCTCTGAGGAGGGCCGCAGCTTTAAGGAGCCTGGCCTGTAATCGGGTTGTCTGTATGTGAGAAGATCATACAGCTGGCAGCCCTCCTACAGGACTGCCAGAGGGCGCCCGGACCATCGGCAATACACATAAGTTGTACATTCCAGTTCGACCGACAACAGCGTTATATATTCAGAAGTTTTGCAAGAGAAGATGTTTGCAAGTTATCGTACGGCTGACAGCGCTGCTTTATATCATAGAGTTTTACAAGTGAGAATGTTTATATGTTATCGTGCTGCTGCCGGCATTACCTTACATTCTGCAGTTGTGCAGGAATGGACGTTTATCAATTGATTTGTGCCTAGTTAGGTCGTTATATTTGCTTTCAATTTTAGTTCAGCTACATATAACTTTTTTTTACAATTGATGTAAACCCTATTTTGAATTTCGATTTCGAAGCCAGGCTCAAAAGTCTTTTTTGTTCTCAGTTGTGTTATGGTTGGCAAAGCAAATTTTTCTCCTGAAGTATCAGTGTGGGAGAATATATGCGGGTATCGGAAGTGGGGGTCTGAAACCTGTGTCGGTATGAACATTATGACGTAATTGTGACGTCACACACCTCTTCCTCACCGTACGTAAAAAAAAAACATATTTCCTCTTGTTTTCGTAAGGTTAGGTTAGGCTATATTAGGTTGGGTTGGATTAGGTTAAGATTAGTTAGGCTGGGTTGGATTAGGTTAGGATACGATAGGATAGGCTGAGTTGGATTGGGATAGGATAGGTTAGGCTGGGTTGGATTAGGTTAAGATTGGTTAGACTGGGTTGGATTAGGTTAGGATACGATAGGTTAGGCTGAGTTGGATTGGGATAGGATAGGTTAGGCTGGGTTGGATTAGGTTAAGATTAGTTAGGCTGGGTTGGATTAGGTTAGGATACGATAGGATAGGCTGAGTTGGATTGGGATAGGATAGGTTAGGCTGGGTTGGATTAGATTAGGATAGGATAAGTTAGGCAGGGTTCACAACGCGTTTTAATTTTGGTAGCCGATATTTTGGTAATAACTAAAATGTAACCGCATTTTAGATATTAAAATACATTAATATGTTTCAATGCATAAACAAATTCACATAACTAACATTATGCAGAAAACTTTCAGTCTATCGATAGCTCTCCTTATAAAGAAAGTAATACAAATCAACAGTACATTAATTTATAATGAAATAATACACATAGTTAATTTTATCAAGGAGAATTAAGGACTGTTAACAACTTAGTTCTCCGTCTCTTCTGCTTAGCAAAAAAAATGGGGTAATCAGACTGGTGTTACGGGATTAGGTTAGGTTAGGTTTGTTTTGTTAAGAAAGGATGAGTTAGTCTAGGTTAGGTAGAATGTGGTCGTGTGAGATTAGGTCCAGTTTTTTTAAGAGTTTTAATGTCGTAGGGAGTAATATACTCCTTGTCGGAGGTCGGCAGCAGACTTATAACTAAATCAGGTTCAAATCTCGTATTGGATCTAATGTTCAGAGCATGTTGCTAGATTCATGAGCTAGACTAGACTCTTGCTAGAAACTCATACTTTTCCATTCTTTTCTCTGACTCTCTAAACGCTACGGTGCCTGTCCATAATGACCTGTTCATGTACTACAGTGACTTCTCCTCTTATTTGAAGTGTTGGAATAGAGGCAAGCTTGGACAAAAAGTTGAGAGAACATGATAAATGAGTGTGGAAGTTGGGAGCGAATTTAAGCCACAACAGTATATAAGAAACAAAGAAGAATGGATATTGTTTGTATGGCGGGTGTTAATACCTAAACCATACCTGGAGTGGGATCTAGGAGTTCTACTTAATGAGCCAGACCTGAGGCCAAACTTGACTTGTGGTAACTTTGGCCAACAGTTTATTGCTTGGAGCGGCTCGCTAGCCCATTTATCTACCAGAGGCCGGGTGGCCCGCCATTTCCTGCAAGAACATGTCAATTTTTTTCTTAACACTTCCACATTTGCTTAGACAATATATTTTTTTCGATGATATTAAATAGCTGTGGACCTCTAATGTTCATACAGTTTGCACTGATTGTGAGTTTGGCACCTCTACACTTCTCTAGGTCTATTCTGCATTTCCTACCATATATTTTTCGTTCGCTCCAGTATATTCTTGTTTTACTGTGCAAAATCGGGAACTGATCTTCCAGTATCATCCATGTATGTATTATATGATATCTTTCTTTTATTTTAGAGTTCATTTTGAGAGCCTTGAGATGGTCCGAATAATGTGGGTACTTTATTATGTCTATGTGTGCTGTCCAGGTTTTCTGAATTCCCTCTATTTCAGCACTCTATTCTGGTTTGCAAGGGAAAGTAGTTGTCGAGTAGCACTCAAGGCGGGAAAGCACAAGTTATTTGATTAGTAGGAGACTTGTAATGGGATCCCTGGATTTCGTCGTTCTTATAATCCACCCAATCAATTTCCTGGTTAATTTTATATTTATGTTACTTATATGAAACTCACTATATATTTTTTTTTGAGATATATACAAGAGTTGTTACATTCTTGTACAGCCACTAGTACGCGTAGCGTTTCGGGCAGGTCCCTGGAATACGATCCCCTGCCGCGAAGAATCGTTTTTTCATCCAAGTACACATTTTACTGTTGCGTTAAACAGAGGCTACAGTTAAGGAATTGCGCCCAGTAAATCCTCCCCGGCCAGGATACGAACCCATGACAGCGCTCGCGGAACGCCAGGATGAATTATGAATATGAATTCTCTCTCTCTCTCTCTTCCCTCGTGGAATCCTGTACAACTGATCATATGAAACGCTGGATTGTGACGTGTTGCTAGTCATTTTCCGAGCTTTTTTTGAACAATGCTTCTCATTGTTTTCCTGATCCCTTCCAGGTGCTACATAATCGTAATGTTTTGGCGCTTTCTCCTGATAGTTCATTCATTCAATCCTTACAATGGCAGCACATCTCTAATGCTTTATCTATATACTGAAAGTATATATATCTGCCAATAAAATAAAAAACAGGTAACCAAACAAATCCTAAGACTATTGATAAAACTGTAGTACATAATGTATCAATTTATATTAGAGAAAGTAAATATTTTTATTAGAAAGGACGAACAAATTGAGGCGTGTAACTTTCAGGACAGCTGCCTCTTGGAGCAGCATTGCCTGAGGCTCAGTTACCAGAGAACAAATCCACAAGGGCCGTGACGAGGATTCGAACCTGCGTCCGGGAGCATCCCAGACACTGCCTTAATCGACTGAGCTACGACAGGGTAAAAAGGGTTGAAACCGAAGTTACCAGAGTATTGTATACAAAATCAATTGCCAATGGAACCAAAACACCAAACGAAGCCTAACTAAACCAACCCATCGTAGCCTAATCTAACCCATCTCAATTTAACCTATGCGTAAAGCAATAATAAAAAATTATAATATATAATTTATATTGATAAAAAGGCAAATATGCTTTCAACCATAAGAAAAAAATATATTATCTGTCTTTAGGGAAGGCCGCAGTATAGAAGAGTATAGCTAGAGTATGGGTCGCTGTATAGCAGATCAGGAATGGCTTAAGAATGTGGTGCTGTATCTAAGGTTTACCCCTTACGTGTACAGTTTTAAATTGGTTAAAAATCAAATCATTAGGAATTGAATCAGAAAGAAACAGAAATCACCAAGAGATTAACGAAGTATTAATCACCTTTCGCGATGCACGAAAAGGAATCAAGAGGAAAATAAAGAGAAGAAGCATTAAAATAGGCGAAGTAGAAGACACTGGAAAAGTGGAAAAAGAAGAAGAGGCAGAGAGAAACTCAGATCGCCGTGAGTTACTTTACCAACAACTTGTAAATTTTGATGTCGTTTTTCCCTGAAGCAACTCGCCGTTTCCCTTGCTAGACTCTAAAGTTGGCCTTTGGAGTCTCAGGATATCTTTCTTCCTGGAGCCTTAGGCTACCTTCAAGAACCTTTCGAAGCAGCTACTTGTGGGGTATTATGGTGCTACCTCCTGAAGTGGCCAGAGGTGGCAGCATCTGTATAATTTTGGACACACAGGTAATGTCTCATTCCGGACACTTTGAGTCTATGTCTTCTAAAATCTCTTATTATACGATCATGGAACATATATGTTTGCTCATACTATGAGCCTCTTATTGTCCTATGAGGCTTTCGGTCATTTAATGGACTCTTTCCTAGTATATTTGTCTAGCTTGGAGTTGAGACTCCTGTGCCTTCTGTATCCTTTCTAACGGCTAGTTACCTCCTATCGCCTCTGATTCTATCCCTTCCAACGTATTGCAGTCTCTTGTAGCCTCTGATTGTATGGCTTCTAACGTCTAACTGATTGTATCTATGTGTATTTATATAAATTAAAGCATTGCAGGCCCCCACGAGTTGTACACATGTCCCTTCTTAAATTTTTTGACAAAAAAAATTTCAGGCTGTCTGCCTCTCGTCACTCTTCGCGGTTTTCTTTAATATCGCCACTGAATAAATTAAAATTCACTCCAGTTATTAATTTTCATAGCCTATTATCTCATCTGTAAATCACCGGATAATTTCTTAAATTTTGGCCGTTTTGCATTTCTCGCGGAGGAGACGTCGCACACTTATATTTTGTTTTATTTAAATAGTTTGATTGCTCACAGGAGGCTGGGTGAACCTGAAAACTTTCTCGTATCTTTTCTTTCTCCTCGCGGAACCCTCTCTTTCTCTCCTCTCCTGGAACCCTCTCTTTCTCTCCCGCTCACAAAACTCTCTCTCTCTCTTTCTCTTCCCTCGCGGAATCCTCTCTCTCTCCTCATGGAACTTTCTCTTCCCCTTCACGGAAACCAAGTAGGAGATCCTAGGTCGTAGTGAACGTCTTAGGAGATGATAGTGAAGACAAGCAAGACCAGGAGTCCTACACACGTCCGCGCCCACGTCACTGCTGATGACGTCCATAATATCGACGAGGACGACGATGGGTGGTCTGCAAGAGGACAAAAAAAAAGTCCATATTATTATTTATTAACTTATTTCTTGAATTCACTCATATATGGCGAGTTGTCTTCGTATTATATTGGAGACTGCAAAACAATACCACAACTATATTTTAAATTGTCTTTAGAAGGAAAATTAGACTATGGCAAAGATAGTTCATGTGGCTTGAGTATTGCTGCGGTGTCTTGAGTGGTACCCAATTGTTTTGAGTAGACCCATATTGTCTTAAGTACACCCCAATTGTCTTGAGTACACCCCAATTGTTTTGAGTACACCCCAATTGTCTTGAGTACACCCCAATTGTCTTGGGTAGTCCCCAATTGTATTCAGAACAGCCCAATTGTGTTGAGTAGGCCTCTGAGATGTGACACAAACTGCATGGTGAATCACACATTCCAACACTAACCATGAAAAATGTGTTTTAAATTCGGACACCTGAAACGTGAAAAACAAAATCCTAAAAGATTTTGAATATTTGGAAAGAGGTTCTAAATTTGTCTCCGATGCTTTCTGAAACACCACGACGGAGCACAGTTCTCATATGAGCATCATGCCGGCACAGATCTTACGGTTGTAAGATGCCTGTAATCTCTGGTTCTCTCCACGTTCTTATAGATCGCCTTCACGACAACTGCCCATTCGTTAACCTTGCGTCACTCTGGCCGTACGTCATTCGTACTCTACGTCACTGATTCATCATGTAACTGATTTATTACGTCACTGATTCGTTACGTCACTAATTCATTACTTCACTGATCCGTTACGTCATAGATTTGTTACGTCACTGATGCATTGCATCACTCAATCATTCTGCCAGTCATGGATTACCTGGCGAATTTATTATCAACAACAGTCCGTTGTTAATTGTTTTTTACAAGAACCACATAACTGACGTAGATAACAAGTCACAATAACATGACAGAAAACAACACATTTGATCTGAAAGCGACGAGGTTTTGGTCCGACCTGAACCCTTAACAAGCCGTAACTCAGCATGGGACAGTTGTTACACAGCAACGGAGAGAGTCCTGACTCAGCAAGGGAGATGATACAGATTAAGCCACCCAAGAGGTGGCACGGGCATGAATAGCCCGTAAAGCAAGGGAGAGAGGAGAGAGTCATTATATAGCAAGGGAGAGGGGGGTGAGTTGAAACACAACAAGGGAGCGGGGAGAGAGTCAGTATGAAACATTGTCACTCTTTTTCACATATGAAAAGTAGATGGGGAGATAGTAAATGATAGCTAGTAGATGACAGGGGTGCCAGGTGTTAGTAGATGACAGGGGTGTCAGGTGTTAGTAGATGACAGGGGTGTCAGGTGTTAGTAGATGACAGGGGTGTCAGGTGTTAGTAGATGACAGGGGTGTCAGGTGTTAGTAGATGACAGGGGTGTCAGGTGTTAGTAGATGACAGGGTGTCAGGTGTTAGTGCCAAGATTCACCAAGCAATTGTGGGTTCACTTAAGAGACCTGTACCTCTTTCCTCAATCAACCCGGTTTTATTAAACAGGTGTTAACCAGCTTGGAACTCTCGCTCTCGCTCCAAGGTCCTCCTAGGGCGTCACAGCTCAAAAACATTTTACCAAATGCAAACTAAATCGCCAAGATTTAGGAACACGTTTGGTAAGTGGACTCATCAGTACTTGATGAATCCCATCTATGATCGCAAGTCCCCTGGAGGATGGAACGTAAAGTACAGGGGTTCCGGGACTCTCTTAAGGTGCCGTGAAGTACCACTTGGACAGAGTCAACGGAGACTTGAAACTCACCGAAATATGAACCGAAGCTGAGGGGAGTCTGGCGCTGCTGGCCCTCAGAGGTCGCACCTCCGGCCGCCTCCTTATCTTGGACGAACCGGTTCTGGCTCACAGACGTCGTCGTCTCGATGGCTGAGGGGAAGAGAGAGAAGGTAAACTGTAGAGTGGCGGTGAAAACTTGATGGAGAGAGAGAGAGAGAGAGAGAGAGAGAGAGAGAGAGAGAGAGAGAGAGAGAGAGAGAGAGAGAGAGAGAGAGAGAGAGAGACCCATAATATGTTAATTTTTTACCACTTAGCATACCAGTCATCACTCCAGAAAACCAACTTGTTGGGAGCGTGTGGTATCCTCTTCCTAGTGTACCACTAAGTGTGGAGAGTCGACTCTCTATTGGTCTATATAATGGAACTACTGCATTTACATAGTGGGAACCGGCTTAACAGTCGTGGTGGGACCGCTTATTCCAACTAACTTCATTTTTCCAGCCAACCCCCCCCCCCCACCTCACTGTGGCTAACTCCCACTCCCTTACTACACCTCCCACAGGGACCTAACCCAAGTGAGAAATCTGTTGTCTTTTAGCCTCCATGCAGAAATTCTATGAAAAGTTATAGTTAACAATTCTTTTAACTTCCTACTTCTGTAATCTGTATTTAACTTTCTATACTTCTGTAATATGTATTTGATAGACTTCATATTTACCAAAGTGGCTATTCCCTGCCTGTGTTGCATTGTTGTGTAGAAGATATTTAACATAAATATTATGTTAATTCCTGCACCATTACAGGCAGCTGTTTGATACAATAATGGTCAAAGTTTTCTTCGGGATGCTCCCATTACCCCGACAGTCAACACTAACCAGCGTAATAGGATGGTAAAATTCAATGATTATATAACTATTATATAACTATATTTCCTTGGCAGCAGGAAGTATGCATATATATATATATATATATATATATATATATATATATATATATATATATACAATATATATATATATATATATATATATATATATATGCAAACAAGCCTGAATGGTCCCCAGGACTATATACAACAGTTTATATATATATATATATATATATATATATATATATATATATATATATATATATATATATATATATATATATATATATATATAATACACATAATAATATATATAATATAAGCTACTTTTTATGGATAATAAAAAATCAGTCGTACAATGTACGTAATGCAGTTACACATTGCCTGAGACTGAGACAGAGAGGGAAAGAGAGGAAGGGAGATTGAGAGAGAGGGTTGAGAGGGGGAAATTTGAGGGAAAAAGTTGGATAGAGAGAAGGATAATGGGGAAGTGGAAAGAGAGGGGTCGATTGGGAAACAAAAGAGAGAGAGAGAGGAAGATTGGGAGAAAAAGGGGAATGAGGAAAGGGGGGGAGGGAAGAGAGACCCCAAGCACAGCTGGAGACCCCTCATTAAATGGTTGTCGAAAAGTATTATTAATAAGAGTAATTGAGTTTGCAACAATGAATGCGCATGAAGTCATTAACATTTCCCAAAAAGAGTGACTAGCTAATATGATGAGCAGCAATATAATTAAGAAGGAAGCAGAACAAGTAGATGAAGATGGGACTTCGAAACACGAATGAATTATAAAGATATCAGAAAGTACGTCTAGAGTGTATGAGTTGGATGCAAGTGTAATAGCTTAGATGATGAAGTGCTTAGAATAGTAAAAAACTCATTTGTATATGCAAATAAGATGTAGCGAAGTGAGAGATCAAAAACTTTGCATTAAACTACAATTGGTAAGAACCCGGCTCCGTGGACTGCGACTCACGAGCGCTCTTCTCATATATATATATATATATATATATATATATATATATATATATATATATATATATATATATATATATATATATATATATATGTGTGTGTGTGACTGAAAACTCACACCCCAGAAGTGACTCGAACCCATACTCCCAGGAGCAACGCAACTGGTAACTACAGGACGCCTTAATCCGCTTGACCATTACGACCGGACAAAAGGAAGTGATAGCCGAAGCTATTTGAACCACTTCCTCGCCGGCACTCGGATGGTAATCTTGGGCATAGCATTTTATCAAATCACCTCATTCTTTGGGGGGCACACGTGAGGAACACAAATGCGAACAAGCCTGAATGGTCCCCATACATGAGTACCGGGTACAAGATTTCCTGCGCCCTTGATTTAATTTAATCATTTAATATCTTTCACTTAACGTTAATTGTTAAAGATCACACAGGATAGGTGCCAGTTGCCACGTTGTCCTGTTTCTGACATTTCATTTTGAACATTCGTGTACCTTTATTTGCTAATTTCACCATGTTTCGTCTCCAAACTTTCCGTGCAAATCCAGCAGGTGAAATAGGGACTTTAAGTCGTGCCAAGAGGACTGAATTACAAACTCTTGCACATGAGTATCAACTAGAAGTTCCCTACCAAGCCAACAAAAATGACCTACACAACCTGTTGCTGGATTACTATTTAGAGCAAGGTAAGATAGACTCTGAAACTCATGAAACTTACTATATTGCAGATAAACCTGACTTGGCAACGCTGAAACTCAAACTAGAGCTGGCCAAGATTGAACGTGAGCAGCAAAGGGAAGCCCTCGAACAACAAGAACGAGCTGCTGCCATACGAAGAGAAGAACAAGAACGCGAAGCTGCTTTGAGGAGGGAAGAACAAGAACGAGAAATCACCCTCAGAGAACGTGAAGCTGCTTTGAGGAGAGAAGAACACGAACGCGAGGTCGCATTACTCCGTGAACGTGAAAGAGTACAGCTTGAAACCAAACAACGCGAGTTGGAAATACAACGCGAACATGACAAGCAACAAGCGACTCTGGCTCTAGAGTGTCGTCAACGCGAAATCTCCTTGGAAACTTCACACTTCACCCAACGCCAGCAAGCTACTGCCAATCTTCCCGTCAGTTTTAATATATCACATGCAAGTAAGTTAATGCCATCCTTTGTAGAAGCAGAAGTTGATGTTTTTTTTCACCACCTTTGAAACCCTTGCTAATCAACTCAGTTGGCCTGTCAACCAATGGGCCACACTTCTCAGAGTCCATCTTACAGGTAGAGCTGCAGTCACACTCAGTACTTTGGCGTCTGAGAATGACTACTACACTCTGAAACAAGCAGTGTTGGACGCCTACCTACTTTCCACCGAAAGTTATAGAAGGAAATTCCGTGACCACCTGAAGGCAAGTACCACTACCTTCCTCGAGTTTGCTAACACGAAACGGAGGTATTTCATGAAATGGCTGGAAGCAGCACATGTCTCTACTTTTACAGAACTCGTGAACCTGATGCTTGTTGAAGAATTCTTGAGACGTGTGCCGCCTCCTGTCCGCCTCTACTTAGCAGATAAAGAAGAAACCGACTACCTGAAGTGTGCTAAGTCGGCTGACACTTACAGCCTCATCCACCGGCTGACACCCGAACCATCCTCCAGTAAGAAGTCGTGGTACAGTTACGAGAAGGTGAGCCCCGATCAAGCTGGTTCACAACTGTACTGCAAATATTGTAGACTCTATGGACATACCATAGACAAGTGTGGTAAGTCTCAATACAAGGGAACCACTGACCAACAACGACCCAAACCAACTCCTCCTAAGTCCGGTAAGCCTGTGATGAATGTTGGTGTTGATGTTAATGATCTTTCTCTTTTCAGTAACCACCTGTATACTGGAACTGTCTCTGCCAACGGTTCAAATCCGGAGGGACGTTTCAAATTGAAGATCTTGAGGGACACAGCGGCTCTACAATCGATCATCTTGAAGTCGGCTGTGCCCAACATAGTCTACACCGGGGAAACAGTCTTCATCACTGACCTCACTGCTACCACTCCATACCCTCTCGCCAGAGTCCACCTGGATTGTCCCTACGTGAACGGGGAAGTCCAAGTCGCCGTCAAGGAAAAGCCTTTTCCCATGCCTGGAGTGCAACTTCTCCTAGGCAACGACTTGGCAGAAGACCTGCAACCGACCAACCTGATCGTCATGGACAAACCCCAGGTGTGTAACTCTGTGCCAATAAATCCTATTCTCGAGTATGTTCCAGCAGAGGTTCAAGAGAGTGATGAAGTTTCTCCTCCGGTTCTCGTGACCACCCGTGCACAAGCCGCACGTCCACAGCCAGCTGACTCTACTGCTACCGCTGTCCCTCAAGACCCTCAGAAACTACCCCCGCATCTGACCAAGTTGGAGTTCCGTAAGTTGCAGAGGGAAGATCTTACTTTAACACCATTGTTTTTCCAGGCTGAGACTCAACCCGACAGTATTCCTGGGTTCTTCCTAGAGAACGACTTGCTCTACCGCAGATATAGACCCAGTAAACTGAAGGAGGAGGACGATTGGGCCAACACCGAACAACTTGTGATTCCCACCAGCCTGCGGCCCACTATTCTACACCTGGCCCACGGAGCATTCTCCCACTACGGCTTCAACAAGACTTACCATGGGATTCGTCAAGACTACTACTGGCCAGGTATGGTAAACAACGTCAAACAGTACGTAAAACAGTGTCATACATGTCAGATGGCAGGCAAACCGAACGTCTCCATTCCCAGAGCACCACTGATTCCCATACAGGTGCCTGCGGAACCTTTCCACAGACTCATAATAGACTGTGTTGGTCCTTTACCTCGGACCAGTTCAGGTAACGCCTACATCCTAACCATCCTGTGTCCTACCACCAGATTTCCCATAGCAGTTCCAGTGAAGAACATCACGGCTGCTACGGTTATCAAACATCTATTGAAGATCTTCACTCAATACGGATTTCCCAGGGAGATTCAAAGTGACTGTGGCACCAACTTCACCAGTGATCTCTTCAAAAGGACACTGGAGGAGTTCAACATCAAACAGGTATTGTCCAGCCCCTATCATCCTGCTTCACAGGGTTCTCTTGAACGTAGTCATCAGACCATCAAAGCACTCTTGAAAAAGTTTTGTAGTGAAACCTCAAAGGATTGGGATAAGCAGATTGACCTAATAATGTGTATTTTCAGAAGTCTCCCCAATGAGTCCCTAGGAGTATCTCCTTATGAGATGCTCTACGGCCGTAAGTGCCGTACTCCCCTTAAGGCTTTCAA